TTTTTATTTATATTAGCCACCTGATTTTAAATTACGTATATATTACAGTATTATATCAATTTTTATTGAATTTATTTATTATTTATTATGCCGAAAAAATTACCGGCCGAAAATTTTTTTCAGATAATTTTTTATAGGTGTCCCAGGAATAATGAAAACGGCTGCAAACCATAAATTTTGAAAATTTCGGACCCGAATCGGACTCAAACATAATTATAGGTTCGGTTCGAAGTTTACAAACCTAATATATGCTTACAAAAATCATGTGCTTGATTCTCAAAATTCATGCACATGCCATTACTAGTTCTAATAATAATAGACAGGGTTGAATATTTGTTTCGAGATAGCTTTTATGCAATAAAACGAGCAATAAACTAATAGTTTGGAATTTATGATAATAATGGGTAATTATACCAGGAACATAGTGTATGGTTCATTCGAGTTTTGCGTTCGTTCGGAAAATTTGGATGTAGTAATCGAATGATTTCGTGACTACATTCTTGTTATAGTTAGTAAGATTCTTATAAAAATTACTTAAAAAATTTTTTATTAAATTGATTAAGTTTTCGTTGAGTTATTATTGTTTAAAGATTTGAAAAATTTCATTAAAAAGATTTGGTGTGTTTCTACTGATTAACACCCATACATTTTTTTAGATTTAATATTTAGAAAGTGTTAAAAGTTTTTATTTGCACAAGTGAGGAATAAAAATTCATATATATAGAATAATTTGATATGTTTATTTTGAATAATGAGCTATTTTAATGAGTTATTTAATTAATGAGATATACTTAATTGGTAATAATATAATTTGGTATATTTAGTTGAATTAATAAGCTATTTAAATCAAAATTCTATTTAAATTAGATCTATTTAAATTAATATCTATTTAAATTAGATTTATTTAAATTAATTAGCTATTATATTTAAATTGACTTTTACTAAAAACGCATCTATTGTGTATGATGCAAGATGTTTTAAGTAAAAATGCTCTATGCCCCTAAAATATCCTAACCCTAACACTAAATACTAACATAACCATGAAAATTTTATATTCAAAGTAAAAACATAATAAAACATATGATAGTGCAAAACCACCATAGGTATAATAAATGTTTAAATTAATGAGCTATTTAAATTAATGAACTATTTAAATTAATAATGATCTATTTAAATTGATGATTTATTTTAAATTAATGGGTAATTAACGAGCTATTTAAATTAAAAGAAGAAAACTTATTCTATAACAGTATCTAATATCATTTGATTGTGGAAAATCTGAAACTTCTCAATCATGTCTTTAATATTATTGATTCTTTGTTTCTCTACTTCTTTTTGTTGATTATATTTTGGGTATGAGATAATTATATTTTTCACTCCTCCAACCTGTCCATTACCTTTTTTTCGGATATTTCTACCATACAAAGTGTTGTCTACCAATAATTCAAAAGGCTCAAAAATGGTCTCCATTGCTTTTCGTCGTAAATCCTTTCTTGACAAATCAAAAATTCCTGAAGCTTGAAAATTTAAAATTAAATAAATTAGCAAAACATTGTTTTTTTTCCTGTTAATATTTATAAACGTCAAAATATATTTTATATAAACCTCTTTTCCATTGTTTATAATGCTTTTGAATCTTAGTACAAAGTTGTAACTTTGCACCTTTTTCAAACGAATTGATTGTTTGTTGTCGTTTTGGATCCAAATTTTTATATGTAATACGAGAGCGAGAAGCTGACAGACCACTAGAAGAAAAACTAGATGAAGACCTTTTTGAAGCTCTTGTCATTGAGGATGCAAATGAAAGACCTGAAAAAATGGATTTTGGAGATGAAATTTCGGTTGAATTATCATATTGAATTGAGAGAAAATTAGGATTATCGGGAATGATATCTTGTGAATCAGCAACACCATTTATTGAGCTTAAAGATTCTTTTTTTGAGAGAGATAATTCAACATCATTTATTGAAATTAAAGGTGCCTTCACTTTGAGGGATAATGCAACATCATTTATTGAATCTAAAGATTTTTTCTCTTTAAGAGTTGATGTTGGCGGATCAATTAACTCTTCATTTTCTATATCATTTTCTTCCAATATGCTGTTGTCAATTTTTACATTTAACTGATCCAATTTTTCAGACGATCTTGGATCAGCGAAATCAATAATCGTGGCATCTCCAATACGATGAAGAAGATCCATGGTGTTACATTTTTGCAGTTCTCCGATTAGGTAAAATTGATTGGGATATTCCTGATCTAAGGCATTTAATAAAGGCGTAAAGGTGAGCCAGCGTATCTAAAAAATACATATGCATAAAACTTATTAATTACAGTTTATTTAATTATATAAAGTTTTACATAAAATTTTTTTAAATTTACCCATCATCCATTCGCCAAGTGGAGTGTCCTGTTTTACGGGAAACATGAAAAAAATTATCTCGTCCTCTACACCAGCATCACCAACAACCGTTCTTTCTACATCATCATTATAATCAGAGATAGCTGGCAATAAAGATTCCTTGGTTGTTTCCGGTGGTAAACAATTTTTGCCACTTAATGATTCTACTTTCCAAACCAAACGTCTCAAGTTCTCCATCATCCCAAGAATCTAAATATTTCTATACTATATTAGGCATCTATATTAAAGTTATATTAATAAAAAAAATAGTATCGTACCTCTTCATCTTTAAGGGAAGAATTGCCACCAACTCCATCACATATGGCTGATAATTCGACAGCAATGTCATAAATAATCTGCTGCTTGAGTAATTCGGCCACGTATTTGTCTTTATCGTTAAGTGTTCGATGACTGCCCTTTAGGAACAAGTCTATATCATAAGTTTCTTCACCTTCATGCAGTGGTCCGGTGATAAAAATCATTTCTAAGATACAGAAATGGTTATCAATTCCTAAGCCTGCGATAATGCCTCTCAAATTAATAGGTGTAGAGATAAACTCTAATGTGCTTTTATGCCAAGATGCTGCTGAAAAAATTAGCTTTTTTTTTTTTTAAAAAGAAAAAAAAATGTCAGTTATAAAATTAATTTTTTACTTAAAAAAGCAGAGATTGAATCGATGAATTTCAAATTTATATAATGATAAAATTTTTTCATTCGTAACAAAAAGTTGAAAGCTGGTAACCTATCTATTTTAAACAGTTTAACGTCAACCTAGTATGCATGGGTGCCTAAATTCGGAAGAATTTACGGCATTGCGACATGCCGATATTTTTTATTCATGCCACTTTACAGCTGTTTTCATAAATTCTGGGACACCTAAAAATTTTCTCGTTTTCCGGAATCTTTTCGGTTTCGTCCGGTAAATTACCTAACTCTCAGGAAACTACATCGCCGTCTCCGGGCTGAAGGTTGAAAATAGCGATGTAGTTCCAGAGATCTAGGTAATTTACCAGACGAAACCGAAAAGATTCTGGGAAACTAGAAAATTTTTAGGTGTCCCAGAATTTATGAAAACAGCTGTAAAATGCCATTATTTTCGGCTACCGTAATTGCATAATTATTTACGGTAGCCGAAAATGTTTTTGGCTGCCATAATCATTTTCGGAAGGCCCAAAATACTTAGAGCCACATGTATATACCAATGCCCACTCCGAATTTTCGAACACGCATCCGAGATAAGCGAAAGAATTAGATCAAGATTATCACGAAAAATAAAGAAAATTATTAGTAGATAAGTAGAAGCAATAATATATAGTAATCAAAAAAATTTTAAAATATTGTCAATTACTGTAAATTTACGCTCAATGATGCCAAACATAATTTCGGCACCTGGAAGTAATTTCGGCATCCGAAATTATTTAGGCAACCTAATTATTACAGCTGTTTTTATAAATTCTGAAACAAGTGAAAAAATTACCACTTAATGATTCCGACTCGGTAACTATCAATTCGTTCATCGGTAATTTTTCACTTGTTCCAGAATTTATTTACGGCAAGCCAAAAAACAATTTAGGCACCCATCTATAGAATCAACTTGATATAATACTTTTTTGATTTTTTTTAAAATTTAAAAATTTGCTAAAACAAACTATTCATCGATTCAACCTTTAAAATAAATAAATACCCGTCGTTTTGTGGTTGTCATGGATGGTGTAACAATTACACTGCCACCTTTTTTTTCACGATTCTTTTTTGATTGAAATAAGCTCAATTTTACATTGTTCCATTGATATATCACATGATGCTGGAAATGAGGACGAAGTTTTCTCAAATTTTTATCAATTTTTGTGGCCTTTTTACGCATTCGTTTTTCCATGTTAAAAAAGAGCTTTGGTCTAATATGTACTTCAGTTATTTCTTCAATCAATTTTGCAGGGTCGCTAGTAAGTTGTTTGATGTCAAATTTTTCTTCCAATATATCTTCTTCCGAATCATTTTCTTCTAGATCATTTTCTTTTGGAATATTTTTTTCTAGGTTATTTTCTTCAGGAATATTTTTTTCTAAATTATTTTCTTCTGCATTTTCTGGAGGAATCTCTTCTAAAATAACATCATCTTTTCCTATCATAAATTGTGTGAATCCACGAACATTTTCAAATTCAGACTTGTTCTCTCTGAATTCTTCAAAAGCATTTGTTAAAAGCTCATCTAATACATTTACACATTCATCTTTTCCAGCACTTGGTTTAAATATATAAAATCTTTAATAAAAAAAAAAAAAGAAAAAATTAAACCCGTTTGATTCCATTTATGAATATGGTAATATCTAATAATCTGAACGAACTTGCTATCATTCTTATGTATTGCCTCAATCCACTAAATATTAGAAAATATTTTAATTTAATATTAATACATAATGCGAATAATATGGCACCTAATTTTTCTTTAACATAAATTAGATATTTACCTCATTCTTCAATATTAAATTTCGTGCAGTAACTTTTTGTCCATATTCTCCGTATTCAAAATCATTACCTAGCACGATCATGGTTTTTCCAGAAAAGTCCTTCATTAATGTAGTGGGTTCATTCGAGTAAAGTGTTGTTATATTACTCATAAGACTAAAATGACCCATTTGTGATATATCCCAAGTGAAAAATCGAAGACCAAGAGTTTCTTTAAATAACTTGACCCATGCCAAATATTCATCGCGTGTTCTAATTGTGTCAATATTATTTAAAAAATTCAGAAATTCCTCGTTGTAAAACACAGTAAAATACAGTAAAATATATAACTCTATTATTACTTACGTTTTATGATTTGTAACAAGTAAAACATCAGGATAAAATCCTTGAGGAAACCCACGATAGATAGTTGACACTCTGATATCGAAAGATAAAATATGAACAATTTTTGGTGTGGAAGGTACCTCAATCTGATATTAATTATAAGCTACCTAAGTTTATTTTATTGTATGCAAGCATAACTCTTAAAATTTTATCACCTTACCTTTCCAAGTTCTAAATAAAGCCAAAAATCCGCACATTCAAAGGCCTCTGCTTCAGTTAATGTTAAAGCAGCCTCCAACTTTAATGTTTCACCAGCTTTTAGTAAAGGAATCTCAAAACCATATTCATTTTCCATATTTTGTACTGGTGGAACTGTCGAGACACCTTTCTGATCTGGTTTCAATCCAAATTTTAAGGCTGAAGGTGAAACTTCACCACCAACTTTACACAACCTAACACAGATAAGACGTTTATTTTTTGCCTGAACGCCAAAATCCACGTTGGATGTATTTTTCACTTTCCAGATAACTTTAGCCACATGACCAACAACCTGAATTTCATTAAATAATTGTAAGAGAAAATATGTTTTTAAATAAATAAAAAAAATGAATAAAATAAATATTACCATAGAATTCATGTGTGAGACACGAGTGAGTTCAATAGGAAATTGAATATTGATAGTATGGCCATTGATATCGAAGGTAGGAAATACTCTTTCAACTCCAGTCATTGTTGCCATCAAATGTAATTTATCAGAAGCTCGAAGAGGAGGACCTTATATAACAGTATTATCAAATGTTAGTAAAATATAAAATAAAACGAAGTAATGAAACTAAATAATTCTTTTATTATAAACCTGGCTTATCTACTATATGTTCTCCAATAAGAAATGAAAAAGGTTGATTACAATTAATTTCTTTTAAGGTAGGTTTCTCAATCCTTTGTGGTAATAAGATATGCTCCTTTAACTTTTGGTTATGAATCCATTTTGCATCATTAATATTAACGCGGATATCCCCTAAAAATTGAAAAATATCATTAAGATGAATTCGTAATATATTAATTTACAGATGTTCTAAAAAAAAAAAAGGATAGATACGTCTTGGTGTGGGCGTATTAGATTTATTGTAAACATTTATAGAATCTATAATAATTTTGGCGCCAGGTTCATAAGCTCCTGTGACAGAGTGAATAATAACATCTTGCAAACGTATATCATAAATTTCGTTATATTCTGTAACATCATTTGTAATGCTAAAAGAAAAATATGCGATTAAAATTAAATTCTCTTAAGGTGACAAAACTTTCTTTTAAAACAGAGAAAATTTCAATGAAATCAATTTTCACCTGTTTTTAATCAAAAATCGGAAGACTCCATTAGTTCCTGGTGTACCACTATGAAGAGCAGATGTTGGACGTAGCCCATTACTACCATTACGGCCCGGAGAGCCACCTAATATAATTAAGCATTGCTTAAAATGCATTATAATTTTAATAATTAATATATATAAATGTTATATTCTATACCTGGTTTATAATTAATTCTTACTGCTCTAGCTCCGTTACTTGCTCTGAAAGTTTGCGTGTCTGAATAACTTTTGCCACCACGACCACCTGTCCCTCCTCTACCTAAGGACAATCAATATATTAAGACTATAATAAGTAATATGTTAAACTAAGAATAATAAATATACAAACAATACCTGGTGTTCCATGGCGACCAGAATTTCCTATATTAAGGTAATTAGTAATATTATTGCATATTGTTTTAGTCCATATTAAAAGTAGTAAAATAGTAAAGATAATATTACCTCCCATTCCTCCATTTACATCTAAACTGTAAGAAATATTTGGAGTCCATGCAGTCACAAATAACATTAACAATCCAGAGTCTGTATCATTCATATGCAAGGTAATCGTACCACCTTTTCCACCATTGGCACCACTATAAATGCAGATGTGATTAAAAATTTAAAGTTGATAGTAATTAACAAATGGTTTATAAACTAGAATTAATACTTACCTAGTTCCTGCACCTGTTAGGTTTTTTTTTGTGTTGCGTGCCATTAAGAATGTAGTAGGTTAATAAGTCAGTCATTTTTTTTAACAGTATTGAGGCAATGATTTTTTTTTACCTGCATTACCACCATCACCACCTCTTTCTCCATTTGTTGCAGGTAAGAAAAATCTTAATTATCAAAAGAAATTAGTTAATTACTTTAATATTTTAGTAATATGTTATGATAAATAAAAGATTTACCCGGCATCCCGTCCTGGAGCACCATGGGCACCATGATCTAAAATGAAAGCTTTTTTTAAGTTCATATATTATATATACCTATAATTAAATTATAAAATTTTATAAAATATTAACCACCATCACCACCAATACCACCATGTCCTCCATCCCCTCCTCGTGCTAGAAGTATATAATGTAAATTATCGAATATCATTAAATTTGAAATTCCGAATTTAGAATTTATTTTACCTTTTAATATAAATGCATTAACATTCTCGCAGGAAAAGGTTTTTTGATAATCATTAAATACAATTCCTGATGCACGATATTTTCCCGAAAATACAACGAAAAAAATTATTACAAACAATTAAGTAAATCTAACTTTTCAGTTATTTCCAATTCGATGTCTGATATAATTGTAAATATAAATTCTGATTGAGTTTTTTTTTTATATCCATAAAATTAAATAATCACATCTTTTCATTTTTTAATAATGAAAAAATTTATCTGACCTCCGGCATCTGCACCCCTGGTCGGTTCTATTGCATTGCTTCCATGGTTACCGTCTATTGAAGTTCCATTATAGATCGCTCCATGGTTTCCATTTAGTCCGTTAGCTCCAGGGTGATCATTCAACTTGAGTGTAACGTTATAGGGCTTTTGAATCAATTTAATAAAGTTCAAAAATCAAAAATTTAGAAGTTGTAGTATATATTACAAGAGTATCTATGAAATTGAAATATTGCAAGTGTATCTATGAAATTGAAAATATTGCACGCGTATGTACGGAATTTCAGCGTATATATCTAACATTTGTTTGCGTAAGTACTAAAATGTAACGTTTGAGGAATATAATCAGGTTTATACGTAAATTTTATTAATAACACTACTGTAAATTTATTTTAAATTTTATTAACAAAACATTCATTGCTATTGTTAATAGAAATTGTTTTGACAATTTCGATAAAATGAATCGAAATCGAACATTGTTACACATGGGGATGTGTACCAATTTATCAAAAATGCAAAATTTTTGCTACATACAAATAATGCATTTGGATTACCTTTTGTAGAAAAATTTAATAAAACATTTCAACTAGTAATACGTACGTATCCAATGATAAGAATTTATACTTCAAAATTAGTGCGTTCAGTAAATAAATACATATTGATATTCGCTGAGCCAGTGATTATTAAAAAACCTTATTAATATATAATACTAACTATTAATATACATTATAGTAATATATAATACTAACTATAAATATACATTATAGTAATATATTACACTTGTTGAAGTAAAAAATTATTGTATCCCGACTTTTTACACTAATCATGTCATTTACAACAGGTACAGTGCACATCAAAACTAATAGCAGATAGAGTATTAGTTACCTATCATATACATGATATTTTGTCATGCTTCTGGTAATTTTTTTTAATTTTTTTTTTATTTTATTATTATTATTTTTTTTTTAACAATTACTTTCGCTAACGCGCAGGCCTGTAATTTCAAAATTTGGCCTAAATTAAGCTTAATTCGGGCCATATATTATATAATGTGTGATTTAGTAATGATTATGGCAACTATATATGCACATAAGATAGTAAATAAATATTTTTCCGTTACTGGTTTTAGCGCGCCTGCGTTGTGTAGCTGCCTTGTTATTAAATTAAAATCTAAAAGTTTGAAGAATACTGTGTTATACTGGAACACAATTACTTTTGAATAAAATAAGAAAATCGGTAACCCATAAGGATGCACAAACAACAAATTACTATTTCTAATTTATTTTTAATTTAAATTTTATTAAAATGATTACAAAATTTGTCTAAATATTAGATTTTTGTATATCTATTTATATTTTTTTAAGTTTAGTTTTAGCAATTTACTGTAGCTCAAATTAAATTCCGGAACGGCAGAAAATATAGGCATAAGTCATGATTATATAAAATAGACTAACTTTAATTTACGATAAATTTAATATTATATTAATTTTTTTTGAAATTAATCTCTTCCATATAATCAAAATGAAATACGAAAATAATACTACTCGTTGTTGCTGTTGTATTTCATTAGAAAGAGGTGTTAAATATATAACAATCTTAACTTTGGTAAGTTATTTTATAAAACGAACGTGAAATTTTTTTGGCAATAATGCATACGTATTAACATAATTTTTTAAATATTCAGTTTACAACAGCATATGCTGTTTTCAAGAGTATATCATCATTACAAAGCTATGATTGTAAATATTATATTACCTATTCTCATAATTAATTTTTCATTATATGTTAATTTATTATTAATTTATTTCTATAGATCGTGATATAGTGCTTGTGTATTTAGTCATAAACTCCCTATTCCTTCTAGCACTTATTTTTGGACTTTTTGTTTGTTGTTGCGCGGTATGTGCTATAAGTTTATACTTCATGGACTTGGTCACTATTAAATTTATTAACGTTTTCATATTTTTTTTTTTATTTACAAGAAAACAGCATATCTTCTAAGAGCTTATTCTACTCTTTATAATATTTTTACAGTTGTTGAAGTTTTATATACTATTGTTGTAATAATTATTCTTATTTTAGATAAAGAAAATATTATAGAAAGTTGTAGAATTGGTATAATATCAAGTAATCATTCTTACATAGATCCGATAAGTACTTGTAATAGTCTATATAATCAAGTTCAGATAATAACGATCGTTGCTTATGCATTGTCTACTCTTATTGTGGTATGTTTAAAACAATTTAATCATCTATAATAATAAAGAATTACAATATTAATCATTTTGTTTTGTCTATATAGATTCATTTTGCCATGGTTATTTCTGCTTACGCTGCACGATGTAGAGATAATGAAAAAAGATTACAACCCGTCACCTGATCGAATATTAAACACTTTCAAATCAATCAATCAATAAATAAATAAGATAAATAAAATTTAAGTAGTAGTATACGATTATTTTGTTATAAAATAAGTTTGTCTTCTTAAAATTTAATTATTACCAATATACTTCCTAATTTTTGACTAGAGTTAAATATTTGACCTATATTACATTATGGTGGCTTTGCAAAAGGATGACGAAAATAGCAAAAAATATTTTGAGATCTTAAATTGCCTTTCAATCATATTTTTGCATCAATAATATCTATACTTATTTAAAATCTTAACAAAAGTCCTATTGCCTACAATCTCACATGATTCAGCTTTATGCCATTGCAAACTTTTTGTATCTACCTAATATTACCAAAAAATAAAAAAAAAACAAAAAAATAGTCCAATTGTTAGGTGAATCTTAAAATTATTCCGATATCGCGATGTGAAATTATCATATTGGTGTACAAGCGATTTTTTGTGATAATTTTTAAGGAGGATACAGATTTTTACAAACCGCAATAAGTCAATTGGAGGAATCGATTCTCACTCATTGCAAAAATAAGATTCTATATTAGACTAATACAGTAATTATCTCAACGATACTTGATTGGGATTGGTGATCACATGTAATGCAGAATCTCAATTCGACGGATTGTGGAATTTAATTTGTTTAAGTCCTCTAAATTTACAAGATCCAATTTTACGTATCTGTTATGTAACACTAAAATATTGTATCTGAGTTTAAAATGAGTAATATCAAGCATTACTATTTTTTTTAAATTACTGTTATTTTGGTGTTTAAAAATTAATAATAACGAACGCCAATTGCGTCCCGGGGCAAAACTGCCATAAGAGGAAAGAATAACAAAGTGCAAGATAAATCCGTTTTCTCTTGGCATTATACATTTTTAGATTACTATTATTTGGGTATTACGTAGCAGATTCACAAAATTAGGTCTTGTAATTTTCGAATTACCACAAATCCGTCGAATTCACCTAATTAGATTAACAGATTACTTTCTTAATTTTTTATTATTCCAAATATTAAAAATCAGTAAACTTAAATATAATAATTATGTGTGGCATATCTGATATAAAGTTTGGCTATATGGTATATACGTACGTACGTACGTACATAACAAACATTAAAATCTGCATAAGGTTCAATAAAACTTATATAACTGATAGGGTAGAAGAATAAATTCAAACAAATATTTAATCCATAAATAGTAAAAGAATAAAGAAAAATGTGTACAATGTGTAAAATAAATATTTATATCCATATATAGTAAAAGACATGGATTATAGGACAAAAATACGAACAGGAATATTTATTTAACTTTGTTTGGATTAACAAAGGTAAATATTTATATATTAGCTTACCACAAACCACAAATAATGTATTAGTAAATGCCCTAGTGATTGTCGATGATTTATCCCAAATTAAATAATCATTATATGAGTGCCGCCAAGGGAAAGCCTGTCATCGGGCTTTCAAGAAATTAAATATATTTTGTCCGGTACAAATATAATTGAAAGCCCGATGACAGGTTTTCCCTTGGCGGCACTCATATACTATAAAATAAAATAAGTTATTAATTTGCTGTCTTTAAATAATGAAAATACGTTACTATATCAAAAATATTAATAAGCAAGTATGCAAATACCCAATCAATAACCACCGAAAATAAGCACCCCTTTTTTGCATGTAATGCTGGCCGAAATCATTATATAAAGCGGTTTAATAAGGGTTTCGTAATCCGAAAACAACAATTAGCCAATAAAATACAGTTGCGTAATTTACTTTTACGAGTCAATTTTTTTATATTTAAAACCCGGTAATTATGCAATATATATAAATGATTGGATTAAATTTTATGAAATATTATCATTTAATTTTTAATAATCACCAAGTCAATGACCTGAATTAAGCTTAATTTAAACCAAATTTCGTATTACACCCCTAAGCCTTTTATTTTGAAAATTTAAGGTAAAAACCTTTACTTAATAACTATAGCTATAAACAGGGATTATAAATAGCAAAATTATAAATATTTGAAAAGATGTGCTATGTAAACAGCGAATTCTATTATAATATCACCTAAAAAAATAAATATATAAAATAAATTTGATCGTATAATAACAGGTAATAAAGTCTTATTTTAATAATTTATAATTAATTTTCTGTTTCTACAAAAAATAAATAAATAAAAAATACCAAAAGTAAAATACTTGAAATAGTTTTGTTTCAACATTAATTTATATTATTCGAATTAGATAGTTCTTCGTGAACTTTTTTGAAAATTTCAATATTTTCTTCGGCTTTCTGCCTTTCATTTATATTTGTCATATTTTTGGCAGATTGCTCTAAATTTTCAATAGTAGCTTGAAGTTCATCGATTAAACTGTATCGAGAACAAATACTATGAAGATCGCCATGTAATCTATTAATATTTTTGTATTTCGAACGAATTTCAGAATCAAGTTTCTCTATTGCTAATTTATAATTTTCAATTTCAGAGGTGAGATTTTTATATTGACGATCAGCTATTTTGTTTTGTGCTTTTTTATCCTTTCCTTTAAGTTGATCAAAGGGAATCGAAGTAGTATAATTAGAAGTAGTATAATCACCGATTGAAGTTGAAAAGACAGTTTTCCTAATTTCAATTGCATTCAGAGAATTTTGAATTGTAACTGATTTAACGTTAATCTTTTTAATCATATCCATATTTTGGGTGATTTTCAAGATCTCCTTTTTAATGTTATCTCTAAGTGTCTTCATGTAACTAAAAGAATTAATTGAAGTTGTAGTCATACTTTTGATAGAATTTAAAATTTTTTCTATCGTTCTATTTGATATATCCCATTTGAGCTGAATCATTTCACGCTCTTCCAAGTCTTCCCACTTTTGAGGGTCAGTACAAAATGCTTGATTATCCATATAAAAAACATGCTGGATAAAAGATAATAAAAATGAATTTCAAACAATATTAAAATATATTAAAATATATTAAAATATAAAATGTATTAAATTATTAAATTATGATAATATATACCTTTGGTCTAGCTATTATTTCTTCGAATTTTTCTAATGAAAAGCAACAACTACCTCTTGTACATTTAGTTAAAACTAATAACAGATTTTCGTTAATTAAATCATCAGGAAGACTGTTGGCTAATCGACTAAAAATATTTCTTAACGCGGAAGTGACTCTTGATTCAGTTCCATTAGCAATGATTATTATGGCTGATAAAGAATCAAATTGAAATATTAAATCAAGTACTTCTTTAATATTTTTATCATCTTGTTCAGCGCCTTCAGTATCGTTTAAACCAGGAGTGTCAATAAAAATGAATTTATTAGATGGATCTTGTTTTTCATTAAAACTATAATTTTGACATTTTTTTGTTTGACTTCTTGTTACATCCACAATTGCTTGTTCAGAATGTTTATTTTTATATTCTAAATTTTTTTTTTTAAAAAAAACTTGATTAATTAATTAAATAAATTAAAAATGTAATATAGAAATTTTTTAAAGAATATATACTTTTCTCAGTAACATTTCGATGATACTGTGTTGGAATTACAATTTTTAGTTTATCTAGAGTTCCTTCAAGAAAATAATTGGCTAATTGATTGATGAAAGTTGATTTCCCTGTACCCGTTCCACCCACTATTAAAATTCTATGGTCAGTAGTTTTATTTCTTGACAAGAAGTTCATCGTTAATAATAGAAGGTATTAAATCAGATTAATTTAGTTTATTGAATTACCTAATAATTATTTTATATAAGATGAATTACGTGTTACATTAATAATTTTGATACGGCTGCAATAGTAGCATGGTTGAGTGCACCAATCAGAGAATATAAAATGTAGTTTTTAAATCTAATACTTTGTGTATCTATGACGATTGTAATACAAGAAAACGAAGTAACAAAATTAAAAAAATCTATGTAATTTGTATTTCAAATTCCCAAAATTGGAAATTAAAATAGTTTTTTTGGAGATCCCATTCCATAAAACTGGTAAAACATTACGGCGCATTTGCGAAATTAAGCAGACAATTTGTCACCAAATCCAAGCATTTGGTTCCCCAAATTAAATTTTAGTTACCGAATTATATACTAATTAATCAATGTTAAACCCCGAAAAAATTATCTGAACCCCTGATCTGTACTGACAACGCGTCCAACCCATCTTTCCCATATGTTAACCCATTTTCCCACTCTCATTAGACATAAGAATTTATCAAATGACGCATCATAACTTGGGGAATGTTGATTATCTCTATATTTACGTATTAGTAGTCAAATTTTTAAAATTTTGGGGTATTTCGCAAATGCGCCGTAATGTTTCAAAATTAGTGTCACAAGCAAAATAGGGACACTCTCCGTACAATACCCCTACATAGCTTTGATTAATTAGTATATCAGATACCCAATAGCTAGTAACACTTAATAAACAGAATGCAACAGATCACAAATTTAAGTGTATTATTAAGAGATTTAATTTTGTTCGATTCTTTTTTACCTAGTATGGCTATGTTATAAGCTGTAAGCAAACATGGTGGACAAATTCAAATTTGGAGATGCATAACTCAATTGAATAAAAAATTTTTGGTGGTGTCACTTCACCGGCATTTCAATTTTACCGACAATTAATAAATTTTATTCACCAACAAAGTAATCCTAGTCATTATCATTAATGTCAGGCAGGGTTTAAAATTGGCTTGCACAAGATGCACATGTGCAAGTAGTTTTTTTTGTGCAAGAGAAGTTCTAAATTTATATGCACAAGTGTGCAATTAAATTCGAATAAGGAGCTTGCGCAAAAAATGATGTATAAAATTTTATTGCACTAAAATTTAGTCTAAATATAAAATATGGGATAGGCTAAAGATATTCCGAAAAGTTCCGAAAGGAAAATAAAATACGAACATAAAATCTTGAGAAAATATCCGAAATATTCCGAAATATTATAAATAAGTAATAAGTGCATATAAAAATAAAATTTATATGCGCATGTGTGCAATAAAACCTATGACACAACTGCATGTGTACAACTAATAGTTGGTTTGTGCAATTAAAACCTATGATACAACTGCATTTGTGCATGTAAGTTTCGATCTGAATTTTAAACCCTAGTGTCAGGTTTCATAGGCAGACATTCGTATGATTGGCAGTTTAAATCAAATTAATTTTACATTATTTATACAGTTTAAAGTATTTTTTAAAAAAAGAAAACTACTACGAATAAACAAAAAAGAAGTATATAGAAAGTTTTATTAGGGTTGTAGGAAAATAAGCAAAATTTTTTTTTTTTTAGAGAAGTTAGCACGGTGATAACCTAATTTTAAGAAGTTGTTATTATGCAAACTTCTCTAAAACAAAAAAGAATTTTGATTATTTTCCTATAACCCTAATAAAACTTTCTATATACTTCTTTTTTGTTTATTCGTAGTAGTTTTCTTTTTTTAAAAAGTACTTTAACTGTATAAATAATGTAAAATTAAACTGCCAATCATACGAATGTCTGCCTATGAGTGCTAAACGGTATGTATTAGTGCTGAAGCAGCCACGGCTAAGCCGGCTTAGCCTTTTAAGCCAGCCAACATAAAACTATCGACTGGCTAATGCGGATAAGGGTTTACCAATCACACAATAAATATTTTTATATATAAACCAAAATTTAGAGTCGAATGCATCGGAGCTAGGCAATAATGCTAGCCAACTATATTAACTATAAATAAAATTATTTGTATTTTTTTTCTTAAAATTTCTTAAAAAACGTTGAACGATAATTTCTCGACAACCTACTATCCTATCCGAATTTGATGAAAAAAAAATTATTTTAATTTTATGAGTTCATAGAATTAAGGTAAAAAAAAAAAGAATTATTGAATTTGGATGACAGGTTGTCTAGAAATATTCATTAAAAGTTAAAAAAAAAAATTTGGCCGCAATTTTTTTTTATAGGCGGCTAAACTTTTAACAAAAATTACTTGACACTTACCTGTTCAAATTCGGTCAATTTTTATTTATTTTAATTCTACGTGCTCATGGTATTAAGATAAAAAAAAAATTGATCAAAATTGACTAGGTAAATGCCGAGTAATCTTCGTTCAAAGTTTTAACGTCTTTAAAAAAGATGCTGTGACCAACTTTTTGAATATTTTTCGATAAACTGCTATTCAAATTCGATCAAAATTTTTTTATTTTAATTTTATTAATCCACAAATTACAGTAAATAAAAAAATTTGGTCAAAGAAAGAAAAATTTACCCGATTTTAGTTTTTTTCCCAAGATTTTTAAAGTTTTTTTTTAAACTTTTTGCGATAATTCTCCACAACTATATCGATATAGAATTAAAATAAAAAGTAATTATTGAGAATCATCATTAGAAGTTTTAAAAAACTTTTGAATTGTATTACGTAGTAGGATCTTCAATTGTTATTGGCTGTTTCCTTTTTAGGGGTTTGTATTACTGACATATATAGTTGATATTACAAAATACAGAAATATTAATATTCTATTTTTACCTGTGTAACATAGTACGAACATTATATAACCGCAAAATTATAACTAGTCCCGATGCCTGATACACGTACGTACGTACATGCATGCGTACATATCCTATCTGTTATAATTTAAATCATGGCAAATGGAAAAAGCCTGTCGAGCATTTATAATTATCCATCTACAGAATTTTCAATAAAAAGCACTATTCATGATGATGAAGATAAAGCTAATAATATTTCAAAACGAACAAACTTATTGTTGCATGATTCACAAGATTTTCTAGATCGAGTTATTGAAGAATTATGTGATATATATAAAAAAGAAATCATGAAAGGAAATTATAATGACTCAATTATTTACTCAATAGATCAGCATTTGACAAATAAGCAGCAAAAACCAGAAGAAATAATCAATTTTTGCTTAAATAATCAAACAAATCCTATTATTAAAACCAATTCTATCATCCAACATATTCTTGGAATGTGTTATAACTATGGGAAATGGATTAAAAATAATAGCCATCTAGCGTTTATTTATTACCAAAAATCAGCTGAATTGGGAAATTCTAATGCAATGACTGATGTTGGCTTTTGTTATCAATATGGAATCGGAGTTGAAAAAGATGAACATGAGGCATTCATTTGCTATCAAAAATCAGCAAATATGGAGGACCCATTTGGAATCGAATTACTCGGTGATTGTTATCGAGATGGAATTGGGGTTGAAAAGGATGTCAATAAGGCATTGAATTATTACCGAGAATTAGCTGAAATGGGCCATGCTATAGGAATGAATAATCTTGGAGATTATTATAAAAATGGAATTGGTGTTGAAAAGAATGAACATAAGGCATTCATTTATTATCAAAAATCTGCCGACATGGGTAATTCTAGTGGAATGTATAATCTCGGAGATTGTTATGAAAATGGAACTGGAGTTGAAAAGGATGAACGTAAGGCATTCGTTTATTATCAAAAATCTGCTAACATAGGTAACGCTAATGGAATAAACAAACTTGGATCCTGTTATGAAGATGGGGTTGGAGTTGAAAAGGATAAATATAAGGCATTCATTTATTATCAAAAATCTGCTGATATGGGTAATTCTGATGGAATGTACAATCTTGGAGACTGTCACAAAAATGGAATTGGAGTTGAAAAGGATGAACACAAAGCATTCATTTGTTATCAAAAATCTGCTGATATGGGTGATGCTGATGGAATGCGCACCCTTGGGTATTGCTATAAAAATGGAATTGGAGTCGGTAAGGATGAACATAAGGCATTTGTTTATTTTCAAAAATCTGCTGATATGGGTAATGCAAATGGGATAAACTGGCTTGGTTATTGTTATGAAAAAGGAATCGGTATTGAAAAGAATGAAAATAAAGCATTTATTTATTATCAGAAATCGGCTGATAAGGGTAATTCTAATGGAATGTACAATCTTGGAGATTGTTATGAAAATGGAATTGGAGTTGAAATGGATAAACACAAGGCATTCATTTATTATCAAAAATCTGCTAATATGGGTGATGCTAGTGGAATAATTAAAGTTTGTTACTGTTATCATTATGGAGTTGGAGTTGAACTAGATGAATATAAAGCATCTATTTATTATAAAAAACGTGCTAATATGGCAATAGCAGAATAGACATCTGGATATTATTATCGAAGTGGAATTGGGTTTGTAATGAATAAACATAACACATAATGAAATCTTTTTTTTGTCCAAATATTAAATCTACGACATTTCAACTTGGATATGAAGCATTCACTTATTTTTAAAAGCTTGGTAATTTGTGGAAGCTAGTGGAACGAATTTTCTAAATATTTGAATATAAATAGGATTAAGCCCACAAATGACCCAAGAAAAACTAGGTTGATATTAAAAAAAATGTCAAATTTTTGTGCTGCTTACATTTTTTATAATATGGGGTGTTTCAGTAGAAATGCGCCATATTTTTTCTAAGTAAATTTTTTAAAGCTTTAAACAAAAACAACTCAGGCAAAACTTGATCGAATTTAATAAAAAATTTTTAAACCAATTTTAAAACTTAAAATTTATTTCAAAATAATTTTACTAAATTTGATTATTTGCAACTAAAATTTTATTAAATTTAAAGCTTGAAAATACTGTAAAAATCATGCAATAAATAAACTTTATTTGATAATTACTTTAATATTATTTTTTAACGTATAT